AAAAATCTTAAAAAAAAAAAAATCAAATGTTCCTTCTAAACTTTTACAGGAGGTAAATTACACTTACAGGAGCATGGAAGCTCTCTGGGTTCAATAAATATATTCAAGAAGGTAAGAAACTTTACAAGTCAGTATGGTTACAAATACTGACAACAGGATAAAAGTGTAAACAACAACCTAGTTCTCTTCTCCCTGACTACCACACTAACAACTACAGAAGTACAGTGTTAACTTACATGTCCAGATTATAATGAAATTATTAAATAAGACCATTCCTTGGATAAAATCTTCTGTAACCATATCAACCAAACAAAGCATTATATCTATGATCTTCCCATTAAGACAAAGAAAACATCAATACAGGAAACTTCTCTGTAATGATCTCCATTGTAATTATATTTTAAGTATATTAATTTCCCTTATTAAAAATAGCAAAACTGAAGTGAGAAGAGATTAAGTAATCTAAGGTCCTATGATATGTTACAGTAGGAATGAGAATACATTAAAATCTCATCTTGATGCATATTAACAGTTTACATTCATTTGTTTTAAAATCATTTATTGGGCGCCTGCGTGGCTCAGAGGGTTAAGCCTCTGCCTTCGGCTCAGGTCATGATCTCAGGGTCCTGGGATCAAGTTCCGCTCGGGCTCTCTGCTCCGCAGGGAGCCTGCTTCCCCCTCTTTCTCTGCCTGCCTCTCTGCCTACTTGTCATCTTTCTCTGTCAAATAAATAAATAAATAAATCTTAAAAAAAAAATCAAGAACATATAAAATAATAATCACAAAGAGAAGAATAATTATGTCTACCATAGTCATATAAATATAGATCAAGAAATCTGCTTAAAAATCACCTGCTTAAAAGATGAAATGGTCTGGCATAACTGATACTCACATTATGTAAATAATTTAATTTCAATCTGTATTTGAAGACTTTTATTTTTTTAAAGTAATGTCTACACCCAGCGAGGGGCTCAAACTCACAACTTTGAGTTCTAGAGTGACATGCTCTACCAGCTGAGCCAGTCAGGTGCCCCTCAATCTGTATTTTAAATCTGCAATCAAAGCTCACCAGATGTTAAGGAAGATAGAAACTTTTTTTTAAAGATTTGTATTTGCGGGGCGCCTGGGTGGCTCAGTGGGTTAAGCCTCTGCCTTCAGCTCAGGTCATGATCCCAGGGTCCTGGGATCGAGCCCCGCATCGAGCCCCGCATCGAGCCCCGCATCGAGCCCCGCATCGAGCTCTCTGCTCCGCAGGGAGCCTGCCTCCACCTCTCTCTCTGCCTGCCTATCTGCCTACTTGTGATCTCTGTCAAATAAATAAATAAAATCTTAAAAAAAAAAAAAAAAAAGATTTGTATTTGCTATTTTCTTTTTTAAGATTTTATTTATTTGACAGACAGAAATCACAAGCAGGCAGAGAGGCAGGCAGAGAGAGAGAGGGGGAAGCAGGCTCCCCGCCAAGCAGAGAGTCCGATGCGGGGCTCGATCCCAGGATCCCGGGACCATGACCCAAGCCAAAGGCAGAGGCTTTCACCCACTGAGCCACCCAGGTGCCCCTGTATTTGCTATTTTCTTAACATACATTATTTTATATTATGTTTTTAAGATTTATTTATTTACTTGAGAGAGTGCAAGCGTGGGAGAGAGCACAAAGGAAGAGGGAAAAGCCAACTCTTCAACTAAGCAGAGAGCCCAATGAAGGGCTCGATCCCACCACCCAAGCCAAAGGCTGACATTTAACCAGTGAGCCACCTAGGTTACCTGGAAGATAGAAACTTTTGAGTGGTTATACTGTATGTGTTGTAAATATGCTGAAACTTCAGCTCTAAAAACCTCAACTTTTTCATATAGACTTAAAGGCTCTTGTATCAAATATGGAAGTCTGACATTTAATCTGAAAGCACTGAGTACTTAGAGAATAAAAGCTATAAAAGCACTTTTGACACAAGGATTCCAACCACTAAAGCCTGGCGAGGGGGGTGTCTACCACTTGCATCACTATCATTTACAATATACTAGATAACAAAAAAGTTTAGTTTCAAAAATTTGTAAATACTGAAGATGTCCTGCAATACTGTTAATCAAATAAACTGAACAAACCTCCAGCTATATTTTGAGTATTTCTCAAAAACCTCAAAAAAGAGAAAAAAAAATACATGAGTAGAATATGTTTGAGTAACATATGCTCAAATTGCTTTTTTAAAAGGATTTATTTGCTTAAAAAATAAATAAATTTAAAAAAAAAGGATTTATTTGTTTATTTTATTTATTTATTTATTTATTTTAGTTTTATTTAAGTAATCTCTACACCGAACATGGGGCGCTACCTCATGACCCTGAGATCAAGAGTTGCACGTTTTTCCGACTGAGCCAGTCACGGACCTCATATGCTCAAATTCTAAAGCTGCTGGCCACATATCTATAAACTTATTTATTTATTTATTTGGAGACAGAGCACAAGTGGGAGAGGGCCAGAGGGAGCGAGAGAAAGAGAATATTAGGCAGTCTCCATGCTCATTGTGAAGCCTGACACAGGGCTGGATCTCACAACCCTGAGTATCACGACCCGAGCTGAAATCAAGTGGGAAGCATAACCAACTGAGCCACCCAGGTGCCCCTAAATAATTTTTTTATAGTTTTTTTTTTTTTTAAGTGGAGAAGAAGTAAGCTACATTCTCCATAAATTCTCAAAGGTTGTTTTATTTTGTGAATCAATTCAGCCCACACCAGTTCAATAATGGTCATTAAACATTTTTCCTTATATACAGCCTTTTTTTTTTTAAGGCAAAAAACATTCATTAACTCACAGAGTTTCTAAGGATTAGGAATCTAAGAGTGTCTTAGTGGTTCTAGGTCAAAGCCTCTCATGAGTGGCAGTCAAGTTGTCATCTCTATATATAACTTTTTAAAGTTATAAAACAAAGAATTGACTGCCCCTGCCAAAGTTAAATTTCATGATCATGGTGAAGTAAGCTCCATTACATTTGTTTACATTGAAAAACCAACAATCTATCACTAATTCTCACATTTTAGTGCATTTTTTATGTAAAATACCTTCAAAACTGTCTAAATTACACAAACTTTACTTCTAACACTACATTTAAATATATCTGAAGTCCTACATAATTGAGTTCAATTTGCTAAAGCAAATGAGCCTAATCTTATGAAGATTTCCTGAGGCATTAAAATAATCAATTTTTTTTAAATTTTATTTATTTATATGACAGAGAGAGACACAGCAAGAGAAGGAACAAAAGCAGGGGGAGTGGCAGAGGGAGAAGCAGGTTCCCCACTGAGCAGGGAGCCCAATGGGGCTCGATCTTCATGACATGAGCCGCAGGTTCAGCATGCTTAACGACTGAGCTACCCAGGCGTGCTTATAATCAGTATTTTTTAAAGTCAAAAAAGACACAAAATCTGAATAGAGTATGCGCTAAATTATGCATTAACCATAGTACAAGATAATGAGCGAGATATATTATTCTTAGCCCCCTACTGAAGATCAAATTTGTTTCAATTTACTATTAGAAATTAAGTTAAATAAGCTAGGGACTTTATGTGTCTAACACTGAAAAAGGAAAAAACATTTCTTAACATCCTATCATAAAGGAAAAGTGTTAGAGAAACTTCCCTTCATAAGCATGCCTCAAACATCCCCTACAGTGCCTTGATAAAAATGTATCATACAGGAAAACATAAGCTTTTAAATTAGATTCCTTATGGTATCTTTTCCATTTGAATAAGTTACAATATGCCATGGAAGTCCCTGGAATTAATATTAATAGAGTTAATATTAATTTTTCAAGATTACTCCTAATACTAGTATTTATCATTATTACTACTTCTTTGTAAGAAATAATACATGGCGTCCAGCTCCCTAAATACTTTACAATCAATCTCCTATCTCCCCTTTCCCCAAAATAGAATGTTGACTCTATTCCATTTAGCCAAAAGAAAACAGCAAACACATCTTTATGGTCTATTCTGGCAAATCAGTGTTTAGAAACCAATGCAACTGTTACTAATGGCTCAGAACCAAACACTGTAACAAAACACACTGAGTGGATCCTCCCTGTGTGTGTACATGCGCCCATTCATAATAACGTGATCCTCATACATGCATTCAAAATCTCAGTTTATACTAAATACCAGAACACCTCTACATAATACACAGCATATAAGAAAACTGCCCTCTTTAATGTTCAAAGAAAGAACAATTTCTACAGCTAAGTATGAGAAGAGTTAATACTGGGATTGCTGCCACCTATCAACTTTAATTCAAAGCAAAGTACAACTCAATGTCATTTTTACCTCTAACGCTGCCACGCTGAAACAAAATTAACTTCACTGTGCGATAAAGTATGCTGGCATCCCAATGGATTATTTACTTCCCTGATTTGACATTACATATTTGTGGAGTCTTTTGTCCCTCTCACAGCATCCCAGAGTGTCAACAGCGTCTTAGTTAAGGCAAATGACGGGCAAATCCCTCAGGTCATTACTTCGCACCCTAAGTACCAAAAAGTCATGGCCTTCATGTCGTTACTACACAGCGAACACTGCACAGTCCCATTACCCCTTCTATTATATTTGGGGAGGCGGGGTGCGAAAGAAGCGCTCAGTGTATCCAGAGAACGCTGTGTTCAGTCCTGGTACCAGAAGCAGCACGAATACAAGTAATATGTGGGTCACCCACAGAGAGAGAAACAGTGGAAGCTTCGTGACCCTCCAAGTTCAGTGAAGACACCAAAAGCTTCTCAGGAAACGGGGCACAAGCCTTCGGGGAAAGGGGCAGAAGCAGAAGGTCTCCGAGGTGGAGTGACTACCTCTGGCACAAGCCCAGGGCGTGGGCGACTGAGGAGTCTCTCGTACCCTTCCCCTCCGCACCAGGGTCGGTCACTCCGCAAGGGGTGCGGCCGAAGGAGGGGATCAGGACTGGGAGAGGGCGGGGCCCGGGGCACCCCAGCGGCCCCCTGGGGGTTCGGGGGGGTGTGTCCTACCTGGGCCGTGGCGGACGCAGGGATTTCGGGTGGAGGGCTCGGATCCAGCTCAGGGCCAGGACCCGCAGGGATCAACCCTCAGCAAGCGGGACCGCCGCCGCCTGCCCATCCCCCGCCGCCGACTGCGGCGGGACCCGAGCGCGGCTTCGAGGGCCGGCCGGCTTGGTAGTCCCCTCGGGTACCGTCCGCGTTTACTGGCGGCGGCGGCGGCTGCTGTAAATGCTGCTGCTGGCCGCCCCCAGCCGCTGCTCTTGTACCAGCCCCTGCTCCCCCTCCTGCCGCCGCCGCCGCCTCGTCCCCACCGCTCCCATCGCCGCTGCGGCGACTACTGCAGCGCCCGCTGACCCGACCCGACGTTATTCTCCCCCTTCGCAACCCGACACAGCCTAGCCCACCTGCCCTGCCAGTACGCACGCCCACCTCTCCGCCACAGGTGCTGATTGGAGAGCGCGTCCCGGGCCCGCCACGTCGGTTGGCTGATACCATTGCCTATCACCAAGTGGGCGGAGAGACAGGCAGGGAGCATCTCCGCCCCCCCACCGGAGAATTGCCGCTATCTTCAGGTTTGCCTGAGAGAGCGAGTTACCGGGAAAGGAGCATCACAATGGCAGCGCGCATGTGCGCAGGAATTCTGGGCCTTGTAGTTCCAGCCGGAGCCGCAACTGCCCGCTGGTCCAGAGTCGAGAAGTAGAGCTTCTGAGACTAGTGGTTGGCGCACAGTGGTGTCCTCCTAGCTCAGTAGTTAACTTGCTTATAGGGGCATGACTGTGACCCCAGGACTGGGCTTTTGGGAAGAAAATCGGAGATACGATGTCACATGACGAATTTACACCCTGAGATGGTCACGAAGAAGGGCCCCAAATCGTGAGGCCCTACCATGCCTCCTCCTCAGAACCGGAGCTGCCAGGATCTGACAAATTGGCTCTGTCCCCAGAACCGCCTAGTGAAGCTAATAACCAGCCGGCACTAGGGAGAGGCCTAAAGGTATAAGGAGAAAAGGAGACGGTGACGTCCAGAAAAGAATACCAGCCTGGAGCCCGAAGTATTCTTACAGTTTTTGCAACCCATGAAGAATGAGATTACATTCCGCTTTTCAAACACCATCAGCGAAGGGTTCAATGAGCATCCCCTGCGAGCACGGGCATGGGAATCTAAGCAAGAGAAGGCGGGAGTCCCTCTAAGACTTCCAAGGAAAAACGAGGAGAGCAGAGCAATGAGGTTGTGTGGGATAAATTTGTATTAGGAGTTGATTATGTCAAGTTCTTTGGTGAAAAGGAATCCTTAAGATTAAACCGCTCCCATCCACCACGTTACAGAAGAAAATCTCAAAGAGGTTTAACAACTTTCCAAGGCTATAAAACTAATGATTGACAGTACTAAAACTCAGGTCTCTTAAACTCACTTCTGTGTCTAATGCCTTTTTTTTTTTTTAACTTAATAATCAAAATGACGCCCAGGAGTCTGCCAAGGACTGAAAAAATGCAATGACTTGTGAGCTTCGTTTTACTTTTAATCTTTTTCTTCACTGAAATGACATTCTGATTAAAGCTGATTAATTAAGAGTATGGAAAGGTTAAATATAAATCCTATATTCAGTCTCAGAACTGTTACAGAATCTGTTTCTTCTTGTTGAGGAAATGCCACAGCTTCTCGACATTCCTAAAAAAAAAAAAACAAACAGCAGATACCTCGACTGTCATGTCTAGATCCTTGGGTGAAAAACAGGACAAAGTGTACATTAAAGGCAATTGATGATGCAGCTCATCTTGTTCTGTTCAAACTTAAAGAAGATGCCAACTTGTCTCCTTTCCACTGATTAAAACCACAAGTTGTTTTTCCCATTGCTTTGTCTCACAGAATATCTTTCACTTCACAATATTGGCTGGGCGAGTAATTTTAATTGGGAGGGATTAGGGTTCCTGCAAATGCTTTCCTTTAAGATTAAAGAAGTTTATAGGGGAAAAAAATCCAAATTCCCTGAAATTATATCTAGCGATATTTCAAGTAACTATTCTCTGTTCAAAGAGAATATTTTTCACTCAGCAAATTCAGTATTCAAGCTACCCAGATATAATGTCTGTTATCATGGATAAGGTTTTTGTTTGTTTGTTTGTTTGTTTGGGGGTTTTTGTTTTGTTTTGCTTTGTTTTGTTTTAGAGGGAAGAGAGCGCTTGACAGCTGGAGGTGGGAGGGATGGGGAGGGGCAGAGAGAGAGGATGAGAGAGAATTTGTTTTTTAAGATTTTATTTATTTATTTATTTGACAGACGGAGATCACAAGTAGGCAGAGAGGCAGGCAGAAAGAGATGGAGAAGCAGGCTCCCTGCTGAGCAGAGAGCCCGATGCGTGACTCAATCCCAGGACCCTGGAATCATGACCTGAGCCGAAGGCAGAGACTTTAACCCACTGAGCCACCCAGGCGCCCAAGGGAGAGAATATTAAGCAGGCTCCACTCTCAGCACAGCAGAGGCCTGGGGGCAGAGGGGCTCCATCTCACAATCCTGAGATCATAACCTGAGCCAAAATCAAGAGTCTGTCGCTTAACTGACTGAGTGACCCAGGCATCCCGGTAAAGATTTTGATTAATGTATTCACAGAATTACTATTTTATTTATTTTAAATGAATCAGTAGATACACCTGGATTCTCCAAATATGGACAGATGATTATTCTTCTGATTGTTATTTTATAACCGACTCCATTTGCAAATCCATGAAGGGTTAAGATAAATAGAAGAGTATATGAGAAAGAAAACCAGTAGCTGCATATAAAGAATGAATTTTTATTTTAATGCAGTTTAGAGAGAAGTGTTCTATGATGAGGATCTTGAGAATAGGGCAACAGTGTATCTCAGAGCAGGAAGTGTAAGATTGAATATATAGTGAAAGTTAATGCCACAGGAGTGGGAAGCCTAGGATAAGGGACTGCTCAAGGAAAACAGCTTCCCAGGTCTCCCTTTTTTCTCTGATCTTTTCCATTTAAGAAGTATTGGGCTGTCCCAAGAGGTATTTGTTCAGTTAAGATAAATGGCAAAGTAATGTATTATTCAAGAGCTGGCACTGGAATTCTGGAATCCCTTTTGAGATCGATTGATCTATTATGAGGTTGTTTTTTTTTTTTTAATAAATATGGTAGCAAGTCTCCACAGCGAGCCCCCAGTGATCTCTACCTCCTGGTATCTTCACCCTTGTGGAGTCCCTCCATACTGAATTGGGCCCAACTGTGTAACTAATAGGCTTTTTCAGAAATTCCAGTGTGTAAATTCCAAGACTAGGTCATCAAAGACTTTGCAGCTTCTGCTTTATGCTCTCGTGGATCACTTACAGGGAAGCCATTTGCCATAGTAGCAGGATGCTTAAGCAGGCGGCCCTTAAAAGTGGCCACCTGGCAAGGAACGGAGGCATTACATAGATAATCAACACCAGACTGTCAACTATGTTAATGAACCGTTCCTGAAAACAGATCCTCCACCCCTTCAGATGATTACAGGCCCAGCTGGCATCTTGACTGCCACCTTGTGAGCCCCCCCTAATCCAGAACCACCTAGTAAGCCATTTCCAAAATCCAGACCCACAGAAACTATGTGATATGATAAATGTTTACTGTTACTTTAAGCACTCAGTTTTGGGGGACAATTTGTCATGCAATAATTGATAACTAATACAGTAAGATTTACGAAAATAATAGAATGAGAAATGATTTAAGTCTAGGGATATCTGCCCTGGATACTTGAATCTGAAAGAATGAGACTCTCATCCTAGGACCAGTCTTAGCATATTCAAAGATAATGAGCAAATTTCAGATTTATACTGATTCCCCACCCAGAACATAATGTCCCTTTCAACCAGCTTCTTTTCTCCCAATGCAGAATAAATAACATATTTGAGAACATTTTTTCTTTCTCCTTTTCTCCATTTGTGGCCTCCTCTACCCATCTTTAGACACCCATTGATTTACCACGTTCTGAATTTCCCCTAATCTAAACAGGAAACAATCTAGATGGGTTATTTGTATCATTATCGAAAGGACTGCAGGGGACGGGATGCCTGGGTGGCTCAGTTGGTTAAGTGCTCATGTCATTATCCCAGGATCCTGGGATAGAGCCCCACATCAGGCTCCTTGTTCAGTGGGGTGCCTGCTTCTCTCTCTGCCTGCTTCTCCCCCTAGCTGTGCTCTCTCTCTTTCTGACAAAGAAAATCTTTGAAGTAAAAAAGGACAACAGAGGTGACTGCATGGCTCAGTTGGTTGAGCGATGGACTCTTGGTTTCAGGTCCGGTCATGATGTCAGAGCTGTGATCTCAGGGTCCTGAGATTGAATCCCACATCCCGTGTCCAGCTCAGTGCTCACTGGGGAGTCTGCTTATCCGTCTCCCTTCCTATCCTTCTAACCAACCCCCAACTCAAATAAATGAATAAAATTGTAAAAAAAAAAAAAAGAAGACAACACCACAAACACCACAGTATTAACCAGCATGCAAGTCAAAGAGACCCCTTTTCCTTTTTGCTTTCCATCTCTCCCTTCAGAAACAAATCTCATCTTGTACACCTGATACCAGTATAATGTTATGTCAATTATACCTCATAAACAACAACAAATCTCAGAATCATATATTTTAAATGGGTGGATTGTGTGGTATGTGAATTATACCTCAATAACTGTTTCTGCACAGTCCTTTGAAACATGAACAATAGTGGACTGGTGCTCAAGTGATTCCACAAACCAGGAAACAGCCCCATATTTTAAATTTTTCATCAGTCTTACGAGTTTCTATTTGAATCTTGCTTGACCCACTAAATGAAAAATTTTAGAGCCTATTTATGCCAACTACTCTGCTAGGTACTGGGGAAACAAACATGAATAAACTCAGGGCTCGTTTCAACAAACACGTAAACCCTACTACAATGCATTGTAACAACTCCTATGAAAGAGGTATATTCTGTAGCACACATAGATGCTCTAGAACAGGAATCAGTAAACCATAGCCTACAGGCCAGTCAAATCCCTTGGGTCCTCTGAGAGCCTGGCGTCTTGAAGCCAGTGTCAGCTGCGTTCTCATTTTGACAGAGATTTTTTGTTTTTAAAGATTTTATTTATTTGACAGAGAGAGATCACAAGCAGGCAGAGAGGCAGGCAGAGAGAGAGGAGGAAGCAGGCTTCCTGCTGAGCAGAGAGCCCAATGCGGGGCTTGATTCCAGGACCTTGAAATCATGACCCGAGCCGAAGGCAGCGGCTTAACCCACTGAGCCACCCAGGCGCCCCTTGACAGAGATTCTTAATACCAAATGTGTTAACTACGTCAAGTATTTGTGTTTTTGAAAACTGCAATCCTTATTTTGTTGTGAGAGGATTTATTTTGATATTTTTTAAAATTTCAAAAATAAGAGAAATCTGG